CTATAGGGGGCAGTAGCCTGTTACTGAAATGAATTGAGCTGGATTCTATTCAACTTCAGGATATCAGCAGTCAGAGCAACTGATCGTTTGCCCATCATCGTCTTGCACTTTCTTCAACCTTCCATACGACCTCAATATAATGAAGTTCTTTCATTCACCGGTGGCTCCATCAATCCACCAACTGCGTTCATATATTCTATCTACTATCAGAAGAACTGCTAGAACTCCTGGATCTGGAGACAATAAAAACTCCAATAACACCTTCAATCTTCAATACATTATTTTCCATGAAAACATTCCAAATTCCCATGAAATCACTCATCTCCTACGTGTCAGGATTTTAGTAGATTGTTCATTGCACTCTCCTGTACCACTTCACAAAAATTTGCGACACGATTTCTTCCTCTATTCGAACATTTCTGATGGCATTCGTTGATTGAGCTAGGAAGTAGTGTTCCCCCTCTACGATCTTGTGGTTCTGGATTTATTAGCCGCATTGCCGATGCAGTAATTCTGAATCATGTACGACAGTCACAGACTAGCTCGATTACAAATATTTCTTGAGAGCGACTGTTCGATGGAGTTTCGCACAGATAAACATTGTAACTGAGTGATAATGTAACAAACCGGTATGAAGAGCTTTTACTCAAGACAGATGAAAACCCCATAATCTCCCCATCGGACGAAATCCATGCAAATTAAATATTAGAGAAATATACTTATACCAACTTCAAACAATTTCATTGTCCCAGTTGGAGATGCTCCTGAAGTGCCGTGTGGAGTATCAAGCAAGGTCTACAGAGAAATAGAAGAAAGAAATAATAATAATTATTATTATATGGCTTTTATTGCTGCATCACCTTCTCTTACATACTGAACGAAAAATAAGAAAATAATTATATATACTATATCTCACGTTCTATATTATTATAAAGTAGGTGGGCTGCATAGCAAAGACAAAGTTCGCACTTCTTCAATTGGATATACAGATACTCAATTTCAGAAGCCGCGTTCTTCCACTTAACCTGGAAATGATGATTTGGATGGGAGCATAAGACAATGAGAAGAAGGTGTATGTATGTGAGTGTGGTTGAATTGCCAGATGAGCATGACAGCTAATTATTATGCTACATAGGAGGGGTGCTACGAAACTAACGGGAGAACTGACAGGCCTGCCACTGCCGCATACGATAGTTAGCTCAGAGAAATATTCGGTAGTAAATACCAAACGATTAGTAGAATAGGCGCCAGTCACTATACACATTCATCAAGGAGGGTGTTAGACCGCTCTCTCAAGCGAACTATATCACTCGTTATATTCATTGAGGTTTGCAACAAAGCCCATTGGAGCCAAATTGTTGACGTGCAAAAGTTCCTCATTCATACCAGAACCAGCACCATTACACCAACAACAAGAGATGATTGGAATGAAAGATAAAACAATATACAGTGTGATTCAGGTTGTAGGATACCAATAAAAATGGGTGATGGATCTCATTATTCGAATCAAAAAAGTTTATATAAATCCTATCCCTATCAGTATCGGAGCTACAAGTGGTCAACATTTATTTTTTTATCGATTGAAATATCTCGCTCCCTTCTATAGAGATATCGATTTCAAATTTGATGTGGTCAATACTTAGAGGATCATCATTTGAAGTATTTGAGAGAGTTTCATAATCAACAGGGTGATACGTTTTTGGTGGTAGAGGCTTTTCATCCACCACAAATTTTGTCAAAGTAAGCCTTTGACACCTTCCAGTTACCAAATGAGGTGTATCGTTCAATTCAGAGGCTTTTTCTGCTCTACAATTATTTCCTAGAAATGAACTGTTTTCGAGATAATCATGCACATTCATCCTATAACATGTTAATCTTGACAGATCTTGAATATGTTTCGCTTGCATTTCATTCTTGAACAACATTCGCTAGGAATGCAACGAAAAGTACTGGAATTGCAATGTTTTCGAGCATGTGTCCAATCAGGATCATTAGCGGGGATACAGAGGATAGAAGGTCAGGTTGCTTCCAACCAACCAATACAACGACGCAGAAAATTCGTGTTACGTCTCTGTATAAGACCCATCCAGTCAAAAATATTTTCTAGCATTCAACCTGTCCAGAAGAATGTACTCCACAAAGGACATTAGGTGATAAATAATTAAGCTACCATCATACATTTGGTATATCTTGATCTGTTCACAACACATATATTCTGTTCTATTCGTCATTTTCAATATTGTGAACGGAAGGCTGAAATTCCATTAAAACAAAAGAAAGAATTTACATGTTTCAGAACGGATACATTTGCTTATTCCTCTCGAAAACGAATAATTTCTCAGAGAAAGTTGATGCTTAAAAAAACTTAAAATTGAATGATCCATTCTATTCGGTAATCAGCAGATGTCAGAGGCCTTGCCATCCTTTAGAAAGCATTGAAAGTCACGTAAAAGAGTAAAAGAACTATCGGTATAACTGCATGTGCAAGAATAACGTATACAACAACCATAAGTTGATAGCTGCTTTTAGATTTCAACGTGTCCAATTAATTATTGTTAGTCGAAATTGAACGGAATACTGAGTATTTTTGCTATGACACACTTGTAGATTGGTGAACTTCGGTCACCAGAGTTTTTGAGTACATGAATTCACAATGAAAATTGAAATCGTATGGAACTCATTTGTAATATATTCACAATGCAATTGGCACAGTGACGTTATTTGTACCCAATTATCAGCTCATCTCGTTGAGCGTTGCATCTTTCTCTTATGTTGTCATCAATTCCTCACTCTCCAGACACTATCAAGGAGTTCGATATTACTAGATCATTGATATAAAGGGTTGTCAAAGAGACAAATCCCTTTTTATAATAAGGACTTTTTTTTGTTTATTTATTCATTTATTTTATTCTGGTCCTATCCCATTCGATATTTTAAATATTCCTTTATAATGCAAGACCGCGGACAGAACGAGAGGTTGAACACATGAATGGGTCAAAAATTAGCTGATATATGAAAGAACAAAGCGATATTTCACAAATTGGTTCATATTGTCCTAGTGTTTTCTTTAGTAATTTGTCGAATTCATGTTGATCGTTGTTATACGGAATTATTCTGGAGCTGGGAATAATTGGATAAATCTGAGGAAGAAGTTACTATTGAGATGTAAGCATGTTATCATCGACATCAGCCGTAGTTTGAGTCTTTATTCCATTAATTCCATATTCCAGATTTGATAAATGCATATGGTTCCCTTCCGAAATTCTCCCTTTCAAATGTTCATTACTTCTGTTCTGATCTGGAACTGATGTCAATGAACAGCTCTCTAAAATCACAGCCTAAGAAACAAATAACTAAATTGAATTCAACGCCACCAAACTCATAATCTACTTTATTTCTTTATATATTTACAAATGCATATCGACTTTGTGAATGAGAATTCTATTCTTCAGACAATAAAGTATATTTTGATTTGAGTTGATTCGATTTGATTCGGCAACTACAGTACTGGCCGTTTTTTGTGCACTTCTCTGTATGTGGTTCAGCACCAACATACACGCTAGTGCTCTTCGATTCCATCCAGAGACGAGCTATTGTTTCTCGAATATGATGAAGGATTTCCTTCCGTGAGCTCCAAAAGGTTAGGAAACATGACAGGGAAACAACAAAGAATAAAGCAATATGATCATAACTAAGTATATAAATTTTGTTAAACTGAGTGTTCGAATTGTATTCTTCCTCAGTGTTATATGAATAAGAGACAGAAGCCTTTCACAGCCATAGAATTTCCTGCACTGCCAGTTTGAGAAGAATCGAATTCAAGGTATAAAAGTAGCTCACGTTGATGATTAGATATGTGCAAGAGCGAAGTCTTGTATCTCTAATATGATTCTTGAGATATCGTCAAGAATTGAAATTGTATTGACACCCTGTCCCAAATCCGGCGCATTTGCAGAAAGATATTGGAAGGGAATTAATTTCATTTGAATCGTTCAAGAAATCCTTTATCCATTATTTTTAGATACAAATATTGAAACACTTTGGATATCTATGAATGGAACCATAAAACAGTTATAATAATCTCGAAGAGTTTGTATGTCATACGCAGTTTTTGAAACTGAAGAATGATGATAGAAGGTACAAGAAAAATATGAATCCATAATAATATGCGGAATCCTGTCTGTCTTCATCTTGTCATATATGTGAGCTATTCTTTCATGGGGTCATATGTACAACCTCTCAATCTGTATAGAGTTTTATGTTTGGGATTCCGGAATTCCCGCACGAGAAGAATGCGAGTTTCAAAGACCAACCAAGTTGAGGTTGCGATTCGGTTTTTTATTTCAATCTCAAGAATTTATATCAAAATAACATTTTTGATAATTTTTTCCACAGAAAATATCAGAATCGGTTCATGATTATGAAGGTTATCATTACTGAACGATATCCCGGATATGTTCGTGGTCACTTTGGAGACCTGCAGAACATCTCTTTCCAAAGACTCGTTCATCTAACGAACAGCGAGGATCTGGAACACATTGCCAACGGAGGTGTTTCCCGAGGCATATAACCTCCAGAACTTCTAGAAGAACACCAATCCCTACATTATTTCCCTTGGTTCTCACGATGTTCTCTGAACAGGATATCCTTTATCGTGGGAACTCGAACATGAATAAAATAAAATAGAATGAAGTATACATATTTTTTGCTGGTGTCTGCGTATACTCCAACAGAACATCGACGTTTTCATTATCAGTAGAGAGAGCCTTATCCACTACGCTATCATGCCATCTTTCATGGAAATCTGTTGATAATAGAAAAATATTTGAATCTTCTCAGTTAGCGATTCAAATTGATACAAATATAAATCACGATGAGATAGTTACCTACATCGACTGAAAAAATCAGATGAATCTGTATATTGAACTCAGAACTTTATGGGTCAAAGCGCTGACGAAATCGATCCAACCCGTCAAGCTAATCAATACCCCTTTTTGCAGTAACCATCCAAGGCCAGGACGCATTCAAAGGGTTCCTCATCCAGGGCAGAGATGTCGCCACTAACGAATGGATAGGCAACTGGATCGAAGCTCCTAACACCAAAGTTCACCCGGAGTGCAGCGCCATCACTCACGCCGATCCCAGACCAAAGCAATCAGCCACGTTGATCTGGCAGGCTCCTGCGAATTCTAGGCCAGGACAAGTCTATTTCACGTGAGTTTTTTCGTTAAAGATCTCTCGAATTGTATTCCTACAGCAGCGCTGGAGGGCCACGCGATGCATTTTTACCAACTTTGCTAACCGATTTTGAACTACACCGGCCGACTTTGATCTCGATCGAATGACTTCAAACTCGGATGGCATACTTTGACGTAGGCAAAATAGAATATATCTCTTCTCGAGAGCTTTCGAGGTCTACATAATATGAAGAATTCACTTCATTCCGAGAAATCACTTGCCAACTATACAAGGTGAACAAGTTTGAATGATTAATACTCAAGCAATCAATAGAACCCGATTGAATACTTCAACTTATGTCTTAAGTCTTCATGAACATAATATACGTATCTATACACCGAGGAAAATTCCTTTTAACCATAGAAATCAGATCACCCCAGCAAGAAACTCTAATAGCATAGGGGACACCTGTGATTAGGAAGTCGACTTTGCTGATTATAACCCACTTTCGATTATTAGATATAGATCCTTGCTGGCACTAGCGCGTGCATCTGTAAATTGATATTAGACGATGATTCTGTAGTAGGTATCTGACTTTGCTACCGCTAGTGAGTGCATCTAATAATGATACTCTTGATGGGTGATCATATAGATATAGTATTGCATGACCTTTCTTACCCTAACAACACAAGTGAATACTAGGGACTTTCCAGGAACGTCCCTAATTTCATACTAGGACATATATCCCAGGGATATCCTGTGCCGGGACAAAGTACATACTATAGGGACGTCCCAAGGATATTCCAGGGACATCCCTTCGGCAAAAGAATAGAAAATGTAGGTGGAGTAGGGATTGAACCCGGGACCTTCAGCTTATCAGGCACGCACCTTACTCTATTGGCTAATATGCCATCTGAAGATTCATGTACTAAACAGATTTATAAACAGTACAAAACTGAAACCTGAATAATTACAACTTTGTTAGGATTTCATGTATAATTCTTATCATTCTTGGGTGTTAAAAAATGAGGGGCATTATGCATTTACGATTTCAGTTTGCGAAAAATGTTCAATTCTTAAGAAGTTCTGAAACTATGTTTTTTATTTTCATTAAAATCATTTTTCGAAAAAAAAACAAGCATTTTCAAACAAATTCAACTCAGTATTGTGATGGAATTCAATGACTCTAATGTGAATGGATATCATATATTCCAGGGACACGGATAGAATAACCTAGGGATGTACCAGGCGAGATGTCCACTGGACAATCACTGCGGGACATCCCCTGGATGCCCCAATCATGCCCTTGTACCGCGGGACAAAAGAGGGATTTACCTAGGACATTCCTGTGTTGTTAGGGTAGTGTGGTTATTCAGTTATTTTCCAGGATTGTTGTCATCAAGAAAGGTGATATTCTGACTGATATCCAATTTCACTTCCCATAATTTCCACCCTGATGGTTGGTATGAATAGCAATTTATCGATTCCTAAAGACAATTTCGGACCAATGATCTTCGAAATTCAATAGATCAAATGATTCATGCAGTCCCAGGAATAACAGAAGGTTTTTGAGTAATTAATCCGAAACCATTGTATTTCGAAAACTAGGCAAGTTAATAATTCAAATAATTTCATTACCTGGACATTTTTGCTCAAAATAAGTTTTGAGACCACATTATACACAGATGAGCTCTGGAACAAATTTGACAATTTTAAAATTTCATGGTACCAAAAAGAAGGAAATGTTGAATGTAAAATATTTGAATTTCAGTCGGAATAGCTCGAAAAAACTCACTTTTATCATTCCATCAATCCTGGTAATAACTGAAGAACTCAGATCTACGAAAGCACTGGAAGGGACACAGAAGATTTTTTATTTGTTTGAAAATGTTTCCATTTTATATTTGAATTCAGATTCAGATTTTGAATAATGAATTGAATTCGTCGTCCTGTACATGGGTTTGCATCAAGAGCCCAACTGTGAATGATCGATCAAGCAAGATGTCTGACGAATGCTTAAATATAGAGGGGGACAAATCAGCAAAATATCGAATAACGATAAGTAGGCGCTAAATAACTCCAAGTAGGTTCGTTAAATATCATCTTCGTGGCAGACTGACAGTTGTATTATTAGTAGTGAGTGCAGTGTTATGCGATGAACCTCGCAACCACAAGCTACTATAGTAGCAGTTGAGCTAGACAATTATAAAAAAAATCATGCTGTCCCAGAGTGGCTGCCTGATAGTGACAGCATTATCTCCTTCTGTGGCAGAAAATTCACTTTCAGCAAAGTCGTTAGTGCTATCATAGGTTTTCAAGGTGCGACTTTCTATTGTTACCTGAAAAACTAAGCTAGTTACAAAAATCACACAAAGGATAAGAACGTTAATATTTCACGATGCACCGGTTTTTCTGAGTTTCATATTTTTATTAGATTGACCTATTGAAATAACATTATTTCATCCTCTGTGTGATTTTTGTGGTGTACAATGACATTTACCATGAATATCGATAAATTTACCCACTGTGACGCTACTGGAAATATCATTTCGAATGTAATTGCAATAGAAGAAACTCCATTTTCATTGAAATTGATGACGATTGAGAAATGAATAGAAAAAAGATTTTTCATGGAAATATCAATACTCTGTATCTCGAAAACGAAGCTAGGACACATGTTAATATAACTTTATTTCCTGAAATATCACAAGGAATCACCCCTTGAATTTTTTTGGTGTTATTCAGATACAACCTGTATATCCTTGAAGGATTTGTTATTGTCATGATAGGCCGTTGAAGTTTACATTTTCCAATGCACATCTCAAATATTGCAATATTTTTGAGAGTTATATCCAACTCTGAGATCTTGTTGCTAGAGAGAGTATCATCAGAAACAATTATCATGAAACACAACGATCGGAATGCAGGGTGGTACATGATTCGAGTATTTTGAATTGACTCGGCCGTTACTTGATGGAAATCCTTGACAAATGTAAAAACTTCACGAACGATAAGATTTCCACAACATTCTTGAACACACAACATCTTTCGCTAACACAGTAGCTTCGTCAGGTGATATACTGGTTGGTACACTGAACTAAACCAACGTTGGCTTGCTCAACTTTTGAACTATTGAATTCGAAAAATCAGGGGTATACAAACTCAACAGTGGATCTTGTCCTAACGTATATATCTGTCAGACAGGTCGTATGTTCAATCAGCGCATTCATGAACATAAGATGAATTTTTTGAAGAAGAAAACAAATTCAACATACGCCAACCATATATTAGAAGAAAACCATAGTTTTGATGATAATTTCGAAAATGTATATGTAGAAAATGAAGGAATGAAACTCAATCATTTTGAATCATCAGAAATCAACAAACTCAAAAATTTTCACATTTTACTCAACGTTCAATTATACCTCAATAGTCCACCACTGTTCTTTTTTTCCTTAGTAGGTAATAATATTTATTTGCTATCAACCCTTTCAAGTTAATACGGTACACCGCATTTTGATGTAGATATTGTGCCTAATTTCCGAAAATGGAGGTTTATCGATCTTCTCCACAGGTAACTAATCCTTCAAGTTGGGAAAGTAGGATATTATATAAAAGTTAAGCCAGCCAACGTTGGTTTAGTTCATTGTACCAGTATATCACCTGACGAAGCTACTGTGTTAGCGAAACATGTTGTGTGTTTAAGAATTTTGTGGAAATCTTATCGTTTGTGAAGTTTTCAGAATCTGTACTTCTATTTCTCAGCATGCCACTATACAGATTTTGAAATATTTCTCATTTCTACACTGTACTCGAATTTCGGATCACCGCCTGATTATTTCTGATCTTTTGTTTAATTTTTGGAAGATATCTGATGAAACCAAATTGGAAGATGCAATTCTTTATGCTCATTTGATGCTGATTGGAGATGGAGGATTTTCACAGGTTCATATTCTTCCACTCTAGGAAATAATTTTATGTTTACTATTTGGCATCGCAGCAAACTTAACTTGGTATTCTGGGATAAGTACAAATAACGAAAATGATGGGACTGATTCTTTTTGCTTATTATATATTGTATCAATATCAATTTGAATTTTGTCGCTAAAACGAAATACATTATTGATTGAATATCATAATTCAACAAAGAGATAATGTTGCAAAATGATCACATCCTTATTTTGGCAGAGATAGTAGGCAAATATAGTAGGCAGATATAGTAGGCAGACATAAGTTCAATCTCGAATTTACATATGAGAATTATATGGAAGTGGTTTGTTTAAGTTGACATCATATCTTTGTACAATCTTTTATACGAATATGAACTCGATATTGGATAAAGCATATCGAAACAAGATTTGAATTCAACATAACATCAAAATCGACATCACTTCACTTCCTCGGAGAGTGGAAGTGGAAGGATAAGATTCGAAAATTTTGGAGTAGCTAAACTACAACAGGAAGATTTGGTCGAATCAGAGTGGACGGACATCCTGACCTCCATCAGAAGGACGGGAAGGTTCGAAAAGGACAACTAAGAGAGGGATGTGTGGATATGTGGAGAGCAGGGGTTGGCAAAAAGGGCTCATGGGGGCCTACTACTACTACTACTAGTACCAAAATCAAAGAATGTTCACAGTGATACATTAGCCCAATATTCAGAATTAATATTTATCCAACATTCACTCTATATTGGTTCAATATTCAAGCAACATTAGTGTTTTACATATTGCAGCAGCTTTTTATAATACATGGTATATTTCAAATTATCCATGGCCGGCCCCCTAGCCCATCATGAAGTATTTGCCGGTTCGATTCTTTGTGAAACTGAGAACTATAATCGAGGCTTATATCATTGTTCTTTCACTCATTGTTCATAAATCGTTGATTCAAATACACGTATATTAATATTGAATTGTGAGGACACAAAGACTGGAATTAAATTAATTTGCAATCGATGAATTAATCATCCGTAGATCAACATCAGAATAGGAAAATTTATTGGAATTTTCATATATGTCATTCAATTTGAATCAGCGTTTTCAATTAAAAACACGAAATTGAATTCTCTCATATCCATGAAATCAAGTGCAATTACATCGAAAAATCTGTTTTAGCGCAGCCTTTAACTATTTTCACTGCAGCATTCGACCATTTTTTTTTGGTTATTGAAGAAGTTTACATGATAAATATAATACAAGCTGATTAATGGAAACCGTTGGTTAGCCGAATTGAAAGATTATTTTGCGAAACATTTCTGAGAGTTAAAACATATCGTCAAATGAATCAAAATCTTTTTGAATTGATATTCCTCATACAGGACGTGGAAAGACATTGTAAATAAGGAAAACCTAATCACGAAGTTGCGATTGAAGGTCTATAAAAATCCATCGTTCAAGTTGGAACCCCTTGATTGGGTGAAAGCATTGAAAAGGAATATTCTGAGATGAATTATGAACATGAAATAATGAAAAAATGGATAACATATAAAGGAATACATTGAGAATTCGCATTCTTCATGTGATAAAAATATCAATTCTTTCTCGGTTTATTCAACAGAAAACAACTACTTTCCTGGCTATATGCCACGAGGAACATTGAATTATATCTATTGAAGACACACGATTAGAATTGGAAAACTAAATCTTCTAAAGTTGAGAATTTGCATTCTCCTTCAGATTGAAATATGTATTTGCACATAACATCATTCTGAATATTCAACAGAAAACAACTACTTTTCTGGCTAGTTGCTACGTCGAACATTGATGAATTATATATGTTGAACATTCGAAGAGAGAACATTAAATATGGGAGATGAATGATTCTTGAGGAGAGATCTGGAGCTGTTTTTTCTTGAATAATTTCGGAACGCTTCATGTCAATTGTTTGAAACTGAGATAGTTCTCCCTGAGATGAAGGTATTCAATTCGATGAATTTGAATTGCAATGATGAATATCATACTTATGTAATGCAATAAGTGGAATATATGTGATTCTTGTACCTTTGAAATTAATCGCGTTATCAACGTCATGTTGATTTTGCTTATATCCGAACAAATTACCACTCATCCATTTGAATGGATTTCACAATGTTTCGATATTTTGTTGATTCAATAAGTGATTACTGATTGATTGTTTTGTTTTGTTCCAGGGGCACTGTATTGAAGGAATACTCCCAGTTTTGGTCAGATATGGTGTCACAAGTTGGAGTATAGAAATGAGTTATATAGCTCAAAAAATGTTATGTAAATAGAGATGTACAAGTATGTATTTAGTTTTTTAAAAATATAACAACTGTTGATGATCTCTCTCGATTTCTTTTCATTTTGATATAATCAGTTCCCATTGCATGAAGTTCATTATCGAGTAATAGTACATGTGAGTCAATGAACTCTGAAATAATTATTAATATCTGGAGAATTACAAAAGAAGTGAGTACGAGCTGTGTGTTATTATTTGTATGTTCAAGACAAATGTAGTTATCTCTCTGATGATTATCATTATATATCATATTATACACTCAGAGAAATAGTCGGTAGTGAATACCAAACGTTTAGTTAAATAGGTGCCTATCACTACATTTGTCAAATAATATCACTACAAAATTGTATTATACTAAACTATAAGTATCATACTAGTTTGTAGTGGTAAGAATCGATATATAAGTAATAGATAGTTCTGGGGCCAGGTAGCCGTGCGGACAGAGTGTCTATATCCTAATCCCATCGACTGCAGAAATTTTTCTGATGGCCCAAGAAAGTGTTTGGGATCACACGTTAAAAGGTAATGCCCCGTCTTTCCTTGCTCGCACAAGAATCTCGGAGACTTCTGAGGGTTGCTCGTAAGGGGGCAACCGAATGACGGAGAGAACAATTGTAGAATAATTCTAAAACAATTTTTAGTGGTATCTTTAGATGAATGTTGTGACTTGCGTCTATTTTACTAAACCTTTGGTATTTACTATAGTGGTGCCCGCGAGAGTCTCGTTTTCGAGAGTCTCGCATGGTCTCATCTCGTTTTCGAGACAAGACTCGAGACGAGACTTGGAAAAGACGAGACGAAACTTTTATTTGTCTCGTCTCGAGTCTCGTGCAAGACATCTCGTATCTCGTGCGAGAGTCTCGCATCAGGTAAATATTTCTGCGTGCCGACTGCAGACTTGAGAATTTCATTCATGATACAACATATTTAGAAATAATTCTTACAATTCAGCACAAAACATTTCATTCATAAATACTTAAGCATACCGGCTACTTCAGTCCCGGCGGAAAGATTATTCTCACATAAGAAAACATCGGAATCGCCTTAATAATGAATCTGCACGATTTTGTTATATCTTAACGACTTGGTGAAAAACAAAAACATTTACGATCGTGAAGCCTGATCTGACTGAAAAAGGATTTTTTTACGTTTATAATAATATTATAGTTTATAATACGTGTTACTTTTTATTTTATTTTCATAAATTTCGAATATAATTATAATGCTATGTTTTTCTTCTTGTCTATAGGTGTATGATGTAAGTATGTACCTATCAGGTACCTACTTACTTTTCAATAAATAATGTTAATTTTGTTGTAATTTTCTCTTCCTACTTCTACATTATACATTGAGAGTAGGTAAAGGTAAATATCTCGTACTAGACTGGAACAAGATTATTTATTTATTCATTTATTTATTTATTTATTTATTTATTTATTTATTCATTTATTTATTTATTTATTTATTTATTTATTTATTTATTTATTTATTTATTTATTTATTTATTTATTTATTTATTTATGTATTTATTTATTTATTTATTCATTTATTTATTTATTTATTTATTCATTTATTTATTTATTTATTTATTTATTTATTTATTTATTTATTTATTTATTTATTATTATCCATACAGATTTTACAACCTAATTACATGGATAATTGAACATAAAAATAACATATTTCAAAGAAAAAATTAATAGTAATGATGCCTATACTTACAATAAACATATAGGTATTAGAAATGAAATTTTAATATACGCAGTGAGTACAATCAATGAATCCAGGATTGATTGGCCTACGAGATTTATACTTTCTATCTAATAATTAGTAGATTGCTAAATAAATTGATAAATGGAGCTTCCTCAAATTGATAAAGCTAGAATGTGCTTTAGTATTGCAGTTCTATAGGTTTTTTGTGAGTTAGTCCAATCGATATTTATAAAGACATTATATTCGTTTACCAGCCGAAACATGGATACAAGAGGAGATCTGGCGGAGGCTGCTGTGGCTACCAGTGGAATGTTAAACATTACAGATGATCGGGTTCTTCTAGGAGGAACATAAAATCGTATTAATGACAGAATTTCTGGGGAGTTGATTTTATTATTAATAATTTTATGCAGAAAGGTTAAAAGACACAATTTTCGGCGATTCTCTAGCGATAGAACTTTAAACTCGTTTCGCAGATGCGAGGATCTGACTATACGATAGTCGGGGTAAATATGATGTTTTTTAAAGTATAGGTAACGCAGAAATTTATTTTGAACCTTCTCCAATTGACCTAACGCTGCTTGACATTCGCCGAACCAAACCAGGGAGCCAAATTCCAATTTACTTCTGATTAAACTGTAATATAAAAGTTTCAAAGTATTCAAATTTTTGAAGTTATGTGCTTGCCTGATTATAAATCCTAATAGACGTCCAGCCGATTTGATTACATTCTTTATATGCCTGTTGAATGAGAAAAAGTGGTCATAGACTACACCAAGATCTTTAACTTCTGTGGATCTTGTCAACGCTTCATCAGTTAATCTGTATTCAAAGAGAATTGGGTCCTTTTGACGAGTTATGGACAAAACGCAGCATTTACTAACGTTTAAGTTCAGTTTGTTTATCCTACACCACTTTTTCAGCTCATCTATATCTCTTTGTAACCTCACAGAGTCTCTTACCGTCTGGATGCGCTTGAATATTTTCAAGTCATCTGCAAACATAAGACACTCTGATGACTTGAATAGAGCTGGTAGGTCGTTGATGAATATAATGAAGAAAAGAGGCCCCAGGTTTGACCCCTGAGGAACTCCAGATAGTGCCGCGATTTTATCTGAGAATATTCCATTATGTTTTACCATTAGATATCTGCTTTCTAAATAGCTCCTGATCAATCTCAAAATAGTATCAGACAATCCAAATCTACTCAATTCATATAATAATACATCATGATCTACTTGATCGAACGCTTTTTGGAAATCGGTGTATATAATATCTGTCTGAGACTTAGACTCCAATGTTTCATAAACGTGGTTAGCAAAGGTAAAAAGATTTGTATTAACAGATCTACTGAGAACAAAGCCGTGCTGTTGTGATGCAATATATTTCTCAGTATAATTATATAATGCTGAATAAATAATCTGTTCGAATAGTTTGGCTGGCGCACACATTATAGACACTGGTCTATAATTCTCTACATTCAATTTATTACCACTTTTGAAAATTGGGGTTACGATCCCAGTTTTCCACTTAGTAGGAAATATTGCAGATGATAGAATAAGATTGAAAATATGTATCAGCGGCCTTTTCAAATAGTCACTGCAAGCTTTAAGTACATATGGAGGCATACCATCCACCCCAGCTGACTTTTTTGGTTTCAACTTCTTTACTGCATTATTATAGTCTACTTCAGTTACCATATCTAGTTTGAAATTTTCATTACGAATATCCGTGTCAGAAATGAAATTTAAATTGTAAGTTGCTCTATCATTATTAAATACAGAGGCAAAGAAATTAGCGAATGCATCTGCAGTATTTTCCTCTGTAACCGGATTGCCATTGAAGACAAGCGATCTCGAGTCATTATCATTACTTTTCGTCTGATTTACATAATTCCATAATTATGCATGACGAAATTGCGATACTTTTGCGATACTCTCGTACGAGACGCGAGACAAGACGAGACTCTAGGCTGCGAGACGAGACTCGAGACAAGACTTCATATTTCATCGGCGAGACGAGAAGAGACTTTATGAAAGTCTCGTCTCGTTGGTCTCGTGTGAATCACTAATTTACTACCGACTATTTTGTTCAGTGTAGGATTATGACAATGAGTAGATCAGTCACATGTCTCACGGGATGACAGTAGGTTCATCGATCAGATCCTTCATTCGATAGTCAACAAGCTTGCATAATATTATCCAATTAACGAATCCAGATATTCGATTCAGATGCCTTCATCGGTGCTTGAAGAAATCAAGTACTCATGTTCACTTGATTTTTTCAAGCACGAAAGGCATCTGGTTCGAATATCTGGAATCGTTACTTTTTCAGATATTGGGATTTAAGTAAAGTTCTTGAGTTATGTACAGATAAGTTTGTATCGAAGTATCGAATAATTAATAATAACATCTTATATCGTATTCATTGATACAATTACACATTTTGAATTACTTCCGGTTTCAGCAGAAATGACTTCAACATTCGATTTTGAAACATTTATGGATTTAGATTATTTTATACATACAGTTGTATGCTTTTCACAGGAAGACCTCATAGCCATTTGAACTCATCATGATCTCTCTCTTTTACAATCAATTTCGATTGTATCCATTTTGTGTTTCGATTATCAATCGAAATTGCAAAATGTGGTATCAATTGATTAGTCGAAGAATATTCTTCGAAAAAAATCACCTGGCCCACCATCACCAAAAATCATTTATGATCACTCGGAGAGCAAGATATTATTGTGCAATAGTATGATTTGAATTATATCATTGAAAAGGAACTGAAACAAAAACAGTTCATGGCAGTAACAGCCACCTAGATACGATTCCAAAAATCAAATGAAAAACTGACGATGAGAAAATTTCCACCCGAAAATGATGCAATGATCTCCTTAAATCGAGAATTTGAAGAAATACTATAGGTGTCTCATTTGAAAATCAAAAGTTGAGGTCATTTCCGGCAACACCGAAAGTACCTCGAACAGCATAATCAAATCATTGAATGCAAAATATTATGTTATATGAACCCTTCAAACTTTTGAATTTTACCTTGAACGATTCAAAAGTTACAGGGGTGGACCTGTTCTCATGGCCACCTGGTATATGGTTTAGTGGTTATAGTACACCACGCAACTTGTTAATGTAGAAGAAGGATACATTCCTATGAAATTTCTAGGCATTCTTCGGAATGATAGATTTCAGAATTACTACTTATAGATTTTGTCAAATCCGTT